GCGACCCTCAGATTGCGAGTCGAGCACCCTAACCACCTGGCCATGCCGGGCCCACAAAGAAAGCACTACTCTTGTACAATATTGAGGTTTCATATTCCTCTTTTTACCTATTTTTCTTCACACACACACACATTTATGCATGTATATAAAATGGATATATGTAAAGCGAAAAAAAAATGCTCTCGTGTTCCAAGTAATAGTGCAGGGTGGAAAAATATCAAGAATCTAATAATAGTGCAGGGGGGGATAGAAATATCAAGAATTTAATAATAGGGCAGGGTGGAAAAATATCAAGAATTTAATAATAGTGCAGGGTGGAAAAATTCAGACTTCAAATTTAATGACTGAACAGGTCGAAATCATAGTATGAAATTGAATTTTGTGTTTTTCGTTAAATATGACTGAGAAAAAATAAATCGTGCAGGGTGGAAAATTTCTCCAAAATTAATAATCTTACAGGTACGATTATTTGGAACATGAGAGTAAAAATTAAAGGAAGCTAACATACAACCATCGATCAATTTCTAGACAGCATCCCACTTTCAAAGCTTTCACATAATACTGCAACCTGACAACATAAAAAAAAGTGTGCTGCCTTCAGAAATAAAATACAGATGTTTTTGCTTTTTTGTTGTGGAGAGAGTAGTTGCTATAGCAACCATAATGAAAACTCTCCATCCGATTATAGGACTTTAAGTCGTGGGTATGAACAGAAGACGTTTGATGTTCTATCAACTCAAATAAGAACTAAAACATTTTTTTGGACTATTCAATATACTTGCTTGACAAAGGCTAAAATCCTAACAAGGGCATCTTATACAAAACAAGGACAAAACGAGCAGGTCAGTGATTCCAAGGTTCAGGAAAAGCCACTTTTCAAACTGCTGACCAGAGGGAGGGCAAGCAGTCAGTAGCACTTGCCAAATACACAGCTACTTTTAACTGAATAGTGGAATTAACTGTCACTTCTATGACGCGTTCACAGCTAACAGTGAGGAGAGTAATCAATAGCATATAGCGGGTTCGAACCTTGGACTCTCGAGTTTGTAGCTTGAATACCTACCACTAGGACACTCGGTTCGTGATAGGAGGGGTGGTAAAAGTGGAATAATGTATAAATGCGCAATACCTAAATGTGATTGCCAAGATATTTGTTATATCATCAACGTATCTGTAAGCATGTTTAATGATCTGTGTGTCGCGAAAAGTGACTTTAAAAACAACAGGGAATACATATTGCGAAATTAACCGAAAAGTAAATGACCCAATTTTCTCTCAAGTGTCTCATGTGGCGTGAGATCTTCGGCATTCTGTTTTAAGGCATAGGAACTACATCAATTTTAAGCTTACACTATGAAACACGATGTTAATGATAACGGTTACATATTAACAACACGTGCTCATGATAGTGTGTGGTGAATAAGTAACATTTGCATATTTTACTTCTCAGATGGTTTGAGTATGTATATCATACGCCTATAGTAAAAGAGACAAATAACTCTCTACTGTACATCGTTTGTATATTACTTAATATTTTGATATAACTGAGAATAATATCAACACAGCTGGTCACACAAGGTAAAGATACCTCAATGAGGTGGCAGGTATAAACCCCAACCTTCATACTAGAGTTATAATGCTTCTTTTGTTTTTTATCTCCACATAGTTATGAAGAGTTAGGGTAAATTACCTTTGTTCGTCGGGTGGTGATGGCGGTGGTTGGAAAGTCGGCTGTTATTAAGAGCTGACGGATTTTAATCAATTCTAAACTGGAACGAAAGCTTTTCAATTTCAAACAAATAAAAAGCTTTGAAACGAAATGCATAAACATCACAAATAAAACAGTTTTGAAACCCCAATTTCACTGTTTGTTCTTTCTCCTTCTTTTTTTTTTTTTAAACAAAAGCTTAGATCAATAACATTCTCAATTATCTCTGTACGGATCGTTGCTATGGTAACAACTCCCGCTTGTAGCTCTAACAAAAGTGCAGATGATTTCAAGCTCCTCACGTGGGATTTGAACAATGATAGCAATATAGTTCAATAAATACTTAAAAAAGCCGTCAATCTACGCTGTATCTTGAATACTAAATGTTTCCCATTTGGTCACCAGCGTAAACAAAATATTATACTTTTAAGTCATCGATGTCGACATAAATAAACCCTAGATCTTTAGTTTTCAAACTGCATATAAAAAAGCAAGAATTTAGTTCACAGAAAGCTGCAGATATAAATGGAAAAAATAAATTCTGTATTTAATAAGGTTCTTCTTTCAGATCAGACTGATGGTCTCAAAAAAAAAGAGAAAAAAGTATATTTAATGCAACTTGCAAAAACACACGTACAAATATTTCGGTTAGGTCGAATGCTAATGTTTAATGGCAAACAACAGAAATAAACATACAAGCATTAAAATCACATATTTTGTCCAATATGATAAGATCGAGAATGGTAAGGCTCCATAAGTAGCACCATACAAAGTGTAAAGAACTATCAGTTCTATAGTTTGTATGATGGAATATTTGCCAACCCGTAAATTGTTAGAAACGGCTAAGTTTAGGTATTTAATATACCAATTTGATCTTGGAAACATTAAATGTCATAGCTTTTCATAATGTAGTACAAGCATAATGTAATTAAAATGTGTAAGAAACATATCTTTGCTAAGCTGTAATACACTTTACAGCTTAAGAAATAAAGGTGTAACCAGATCGAACTCCGGAAAATTCCATCCCTCCAAAATCGATTAAAAATAATACTAACACCTAGCCAATAGTCCTCGCATATGATAAAAGTAATATGCCCTTTTGCATATATGTGTAAAACATAATCCATTGATAAATGTTTTTTTCAATAATAATAAATTTACTTCCATAAATTAACTAGTTTTCAGTTTTAAGCCTTAATTCAAAATAAAAATTAAATTCATGAAGCTAAGTTCTAAAATTTGTTTGTTTTTGAATTTCGCGCAAAATTACACGAGGGTTATCTGCGCTAGCCGTTCCTAATTTAGCAGTGAAA